ATCTGGTATTTGATCAAGGTTAATTCCGTTTTCATCTGGTATTTGATCAAGGTTAATTTTGTTTTCATCTGGTATTTGATCAAGGTTAATTCTGTTTTCATCTGGTATTTGATCAAGGTTAATTCTGTTTTCATCTGGTATTTGATCAAGGTTAATTCTGTTTTCATCTGGTATTTGATCAAGGTTAATTTTGTTTTCATCTGGTATTTGATCAAGGTTAATTCCGCTTTAATCTGGTATTTGATCAAGGTTAATTCTGTTTTCATCTGTTATTTAATCAAGGTTAATTCTGTTTTCATCTAGTAGTTGAAAATCTGTAGGAAGATTATGTATGAGGATCTTGATAGGCATGCTTTCGAAAAAGACATCATGTTGCTTGTTTTTTCTTGATCCATAACACAGGAAACTTAAACTACAAAACAAAAATGGGATGCAAATGTGTTGTTGAAACAATTAGTTTGATTTGTTATGAATTTCGAGCAAAGCTACTCGAGGGCTATCTGTGCTTGCCATCCCTAATTTAGCAGTGTAAGCAGCTATTCATCACCACCCACCGCCAACTCTTTTACTAACGAATAGTGGGATTGACCGTCACTTTATAACGCCCCCACGGCTGAAAGGGCGAGCATGTTTGGTGTGATGGGGTTTCGAACCCGCAGATTGCGAGTCGAACCACCTGGCCATGCATTTTAACACTAGCCTCAAGAACAGTAGCATAGACTATCGATTGGGATATCTTGACTTTAGTAACAGTGGATTAACTTGATAATACGGATCTCTTTCGTCTTTAATTTAACTAAACTCAAACATTTAAAAAACGACCTTTAGTATCCATTCAAAATTAGAGAAAAAAAATAACTTCTTAAATACCTGCCGAAGGATGATATAAACGTAAATAAACCTAACATAACGGATTAACTTATAAAATATTTAAATTTAGCAAACTAATCTGACAAAAGCCAGAAGTGTACATTAAACTGTTAAAATATTCTGTTCATGTTTTCAAATGATTGAACAATCAGTTACAAACTACAATCACTCATTACCAGGCTACTGACTTATTCATAACTACTAAAGATACAAACAGTAATGATATTTATCCGCGACATAGCGGCTCATAGAATGGATCTGAGTTTTTTTTCCAAGTACAGAAGTTTTGCTCATAGCTCCATCTCTTGACCGATTTGAGATCTAATTGCAGCTGCGGCTACTGAGCGTTCCCTTCTGTTTGTGTAACAAAACTTACTGATCTCGTTGCAGTTACTTTGGTTCATTCACAAGCTTTACCTATTTTCTGACAGAAGTCAAATCTTCGATATCAGGTTGTACTAAGTCATTCGAAGGTGCAACTGACTTCTTGATAAGCTAATAGTTATCCATTGATTCTAAGTGATGCAAGCCTAATTAATAGGCACTAATGTTTTTAATGAAATAATTTATTAAAGACAGTCATCAGAATGACGATGTGAATGTGTTCAAGATAATGCCTAAAGTATGTTGCAAAACACGATGGGGCATTAGAGTAGTAAAAGCAACACATTTATACCAAATATACAAGTTTATAGATATGTCGTATTTGATCTATCTCTGGACAGATAAGTATAACGAATGACACAATCATAGGAACAATAGCACACAATTACTGATTTTTTTCTAATTTCTTTCAAACGAAGAAGTTGTGAGAATTAAGTGATGTACAGAAACTTTAACTCGGAAAAACTTACTCTGTAGAAGTTGTCCCGTTTGTGTCCCCTTCTTCTAAAACACTTTCGTTTACTGCAAGCATGTTGCTTATCACGCCCAACATACTCTGGGCGATCTGGAAAACAAAATAAATATTTCATAAACTAAATATGAAACACATAATAAGCATATCAGCAACTAAGTAAGTTGACGAACAATGAGCGCTGAAGTCTATAAGATGGTTATTAGAAACTCGCTCTAATTTAGAATGGTCTATGACCTGAGTGTTTGTTAAGAGACTCTAAGTAGAAAACTTCATACTGCCAGGATGTTTGATATGAATCTATGAACGTTACCATTCTGTTTGGATGTTTGATATGAATCTATGAACGTTACCATTCTGTTTGGATGTTTGATATGAATCTATGAACGTTACCATTCTGTTTGAATGTTTGATATGAATCTATGAACGTTACCATTCTGTTTGAATGTTTGATATGAACCTATGAACGTTACCATTCTGTTTGAATGTTTGATATGAACCTATGAACATTACCATTCTGTTTGGATGTTTGATATGAACCTATGAACGTTACCATTCTGTTTGAATGTTTGATATGAATCTATGAACATTACCATTCTGTTTGAATGTTTGATATGAATCTATGAACATTACCATTCTGTTTGAATGTTTGATATGAATCTATGAACGTTATCATTCTGTTTGAATGCTTGATATGAATCTCAATATTACCATTTTGCCTGGATGCTTTATATGAATCCGAATACTACCATTCTGCCTGGATGTTTGATGATAATCTATCAAAATTATAAAATTTCCTACTTCTTTGGTATTTGATATGATTCTATGTATACTACAAGCGTTAGGATGTAGGGATGTAAAAACTTGAGAAACGAGAGAGCATTTGGGATAGGATGCATTACATATTCCTGCATTCCACCACCTTCACTATATATGCATTCACCCTGTGATTGGTGGAATGCAGGAATGGGTAATGCATCCCATCCAAAGTGCTTACAAGTTTTTACATCCCTAGATCCCAACAATTTTAGAAGAAAAAAATTGTTACTAGTTTCTGCAGTTTGTTTGGGTTAGCAGCCATCTATTGATTGATAGGCGTATTGGGCAATATTAAACAATCTGTATCATTGCATACATATCTGGGTCTAACTAACCTATCGTGAATCACTTGCTGCTCTAGATCTGAAAGGCACATCCTAGGGAACAGTGACATGTTTTGATGTGAAGATTGGAAGCAGGCACACTGTGTATAGTGAAGTGTTTTGTTGTGAAGGCTGGAAGTAGTGACACTGTGTATAGTGAAGTGTTTTGTTGTGAAGGCTGGAAGTAGTCACACTGTGGGTAGGGAAGTGTTTTGGTGTGAAGGCTGGAAGTAAGCACACTGTGTATAATGAAGTATTTTGGTGTGAAGGCTGGAAGTAGGCACACAGCGGTTTATGAATTACAGCTGACGGAAAGGAAGAAAGAAGATGAATAATATTGATGTTTTTGTTTCCTGTTTTCTAGACGTCAAGGAAGATTAGCCGAACTTTAGAGGCAGTTTTGTACTTGATTAGTGAAGGACTTTCTGCTGTCCCTTTGGCTGGGGTTTTTTCGATGTCCTAGAGTACATAAAATGTACAGACCGCCATCTTTAACCGGACTAATCCTTACAAATCCCGCGCTCCCTGATAAAACTACTTATTAATATGAGTGTTTGATATGAACCTACGAGTATTATAGAACTGTATACTGAAAGTGTTTCATATGACGCTACTATATTCAACTTTAACAATAAAACTCAAGTAATAATGGGGCGGCTACACACTAGGCTTAACTTTGACCGACTCCTTGTAAGAAAGTTGTATTCAGCGTCACATATATTGATCACTGATGCTAATACCGAGTTGGATAAACCAGTAATTATTAAGTACTCTCCAAATTCTGACGTCCTATCGATGCCATGTTGTTTTCTATTCGAAATTGTCATATTACAAAAGTCTGACGGATGTATATAGCTTACCAATCTCCTTGACGAGGAATCAACATTACATATTATCTACGACAGTTATCAGTTTACGTGCTATCCCAAGACTGTTGTCACATTACATACCATCCTAGGACAGTTGTCACTTTACGTGCTATCCTAGGACTGTTGTCACATTACATACCATCCTAGGACAGTTGTCACTTTACATGCTATTCTAGGACTGTTGTCATATTACGTGCTATCCTAGGACTGTTGTCACATTACATACCATCCTAGGACAGTTGCCACTTTACATGCTATTCTAGGACTGTTGTCACATTACGTGCTATTCTAGGACTGTTGTCACTTTACGTGCTATTCTAGGACTGTTGTCACATTACATACCATCCTAGGACAGTTGTCACATTACATACCATCCTAGGACAGTTGTCACATTACGTGCTATCCTATGACAGTTGTCACTTTACGTGCTATTCTAGGACTGTTGTCACATTACGTGCTATCCTAGGACTGTTTGTCGCATTACGTGCTATTCTAGGCCTGTTGTCACTTTACGTATTATCCTAGAATTGTTGTCACATTACATGTTATCTATGACAGTTGTCACTTTACGTGCTATCCTAGAACTGTTGTCACATTACGTGCTATCCTAGAACTGTTGTCACATTTTATACTATGTTACTAAGACCAGTGTCACGTTGCCTACGGTCCATATGTCTAATACAAGATTGATGTTGAAGTACCTACTGATTAAACAATTAATGTAAGACTGCTACAGTATTGTTAACCATGCATTACGGCTAACGTGACATTGTTATAGATTCTGATGCAGGAGGCCCTGGTGAGACAGCGGTAAGTTTACGGACTTACGGCGATAAAATACGGGGTTCCATTACCTGATGATTAAACAATTAATGTAAGACTGCTACAGTATTGTTAACCATGCATTACGGCTAACGTGACATTGTTATAGATTCTGATGCAGGAGGCCCCTGGTGAGACAGAGGTAAGTTTACGGACTTACGACGATAAAATACGGGGTTCCATTACCTGCAGTTGACACATCAGGTAGCCTCATGAGGCTTTGCTCTAAAATAAACAAACAAGCAAATAAACTGATGCAGGATTTAAGTCTAGTGTTATATTGTATACTAATCCAATCGCATACATTATTGGTATTAAATCTCTTATACTCTTTATTGATAAATGCTCTGCAAGCAGCCACCCGCAGTTTAAACTTTATCAATGTGTTATGACCAAACCCTTTTCGTGTCAAACATTAAGCATATATTACGTTAAATTCAAGTTTTATATTGAGATATTTAGTACAATGTACAACTGAAAGATGGCGCCAAAGTAGGTGTCAGAAGGTCTGAGAACTAAACAACTATTTTCAGATCAAAGAATATACTTTCCTAAAGTAGAAATAAAAGTTTTGCAATCTTTTTATGGAGAAACAAAAATCAAACTACAGAAAGAAAAAAAAGTAAACGACACAATGCAACTCAAAACCCCATAAAAAAACATTGATTCATTTGAAAATACGAATACCCTTTCGAACGAATGCATCAAATTTCCATGACTTTAAAAAAATTACGGTATTTTTAAAAGGGGAAATTCTTATTTTTTGGTTTTTGATAAAGGACGTTTACAGATATTATATCATATATAGTGTGGATAGTGAAAAGATTATGTTGTAAAGGTTCATAGAACAAGATAATAAAAAAACAACAACAAGTAGTTTCAAGTAGTAATTCTCAGACCTGGAGGGAAATTCTACCTCAATTCTCGATAAAAAAAAAACAACAACTGAGGTGATATTTCATTTCTGCAAATGGAAACGTGGAATTGGTTACTTACACATTTCAGGTTTGAATTTCAATAAGAATATTACCTACGCAACGAGCTGAATGTTGTCATGTAATGTAAGGTTAATAACAGTTTCAATACAGTACGAAATAGTCATGGATATAGTACCTTAATTTTTTATAATACCATTTTTAAGCGTGAAAATATCACACACACGATATTTTACAAGAGAATAAAATAAACCCTGGTTGGTTATATAATGTTCAACATTTAGATATTTTATCAATGGTTTCTTTGTTTTAAAACTTTCACGTAAAGCTATACATATCCGAATTGATAGACTAGAAAGAAGGCAGCTAGTCAGCAGCACCAATCGCCAACTCTTGGGATATTCCATTGGTATAATTGGAGCTGATTATCACTCGTATAACGCACCCACTACTCCAAAATGCGGAGTGTGTTTTTATGGTAATGTAACACAAACCCTAAACTTTCGGATTCACATTCCGGGCATGTCAACAATGGGGACTCGCCCAACCTTTTAACACTGGAATAATTGTATCCATTGAGAGCTATTTTTGATCGGAAGAGCGATAAAAACCTGAAAACAAGAAATTATAAGTTTTAAAATAAAGTATTAAAAAGTTAAAACGAACATGAAAGATCGATATTAATTATACTTACCAAAAGACATTCGTTTTAAATCTAATATATGTTTTAACATTGCATTATTCATGTCTAATCCCTTAGGGATTTTCAAGAATTAGAAGAGTGTATAACAGGATTTCAACCACTCTAAGTTCGCCACATTCTGATGAGCTCTGGATTGGGCGAAAAGCATCGTTGGCAATGGATATGGCGAACATAGAGTGGTTGAAATACTATTGTACACTCTTGTAATTCTTTAAAATCCCTAAAAATAAAGAATACAGTTAAAAAAATAGACTTAACACTAATGTCTTATGACAAGTATGATTAATTATAATCGTGCTTCGTCAGCTTGCAAAAAACATGTACACACAATAACAGTTTTTTGTTATAGCAAAGAGCTTGTATAAATAGTGTTCCGATCATTATTGATCTTTTTGTGTGTCAGTCAGCTTGATGAGCTCTGGATTTAGCAAAACGCGTCGTCGGGTTTGTTTTCAGCAACCCGTCTAGACCCCACCATAAGTGAATGATCTTTCAATAATGGTATATGTCACAACGATATTCGATAAAATGTCAGCTACTACTTCAAGTCTACATTTGTTGTTTAATACATGATGGTAAGGAACATATCAGCTACTACTTCAAGTCTACATTTGTTGTTAATAAAATAATACATGATTGTAAGGAACATACTTTCTGGTCATAGACAGCATATGCTACAACATCCTTAATTTGTCTTGTTGCTTCTTGAAGAATTTCAGTGCTCAAGTTGTTGGGTTCTTGTGTCCAAGATTCTAACTCATCAGTCAACTGTTCTGCTGCTCGGAATCCCTAAAATATGAAAACGACTATTCTATAGTTTCCAACGCTTCACACTCTCAATATATTTACCCAAGTTTCTTACTCTCAACATTACTTGTCTTTCATTTATAGTTTTTTACACTTAACATTTCCCACCTTTTTTCTATAGTTTCTTACATTCAACACTCCCTGTCTTTCCTATACAGTTTCTTACATTCAAGACTCCCCACCTTTTCTCTGTAGTTTCCTACAATCAACATTCCCCACCTTTTCTCTATAGTTTCTTACACTCACCACCTTTCCTTTATAGTTTTCTATACTCAACACTCCCCACCTTTTCTCTATAGTTTCTTGCACTCAACATTACACACCTTTTCTCTATAGTTTCTTATAATCACTACCTTTCCTCTATAGTTATCTACACTCAACACTCCCCACCTTTTCTCTATAGTTTCTTACACTCAACACTCCCCACTTTTCCTCTATAGTTTCTTACACTAAACAGCTTTCCTTTACAGTTTCCTATACTCAACACTCCCCCCATTTTCTTTATAGTTTCTTACAATAAACACTCCCCTCATTTCCCCTATAGTTTCTTACACTCAATATTCTACCCCTTTTCTCTATAGTTTCTTACACTCAACACTCCCCACTTTTCCTCTATAGTTTCTTACACTAAACAGCTTTCCTTTACAATTTCCTATACTCAACACTCCCCACTTTTCCTCTATAGTTTCTTACACTAACCACCTTTCCTTAATAGTTTCCTATACTCAACACTCCCCTCATTTTCTCTATAGTTTCTTACACTCAACACTCCCCACTTTTTCTCTATAGTTTCTTACACTCAACACCCCCACCTTTTCACTATAGTTTATAACACTTTAAAGACTCTACATCCTGTACCTCTCTTTTCTTGACAGTTGCTACACTCATCGTTTTTGTAATGTTTTGACACTACATTACTTATCTTTCCAACAGAACGTGAAATTTACCATTCTTTACCTTTTTATTTGTTTCTGATTAGCTTTTGACACTCCACAACTCTACCTTTCTACCCATTTCTAGAGTTTTTTATTGTTAGTTTTATGTACTTTTATTTAATTCTTCGATACACACTTCCAGCCTCTGCTTTACGCCTTTTGACAGTTAACGCTCCTTATTTATTCCTTAACTTCTGACACTCATCACTCTACTCATTCTATAGTCTATGAAACTGAAGTGTTCATGTTCTCCTTACCTCTTCCCTACAATTTCTGATGACAGTGTTGCCCCAAGCAACGTTTCCGTTACTCAGGAGTTTGCAACGCTTCCTGGCAAAACCTTTTCTGCTAGAATAGATAGATCCATAAGGACAAGGCTTGTCTATTTTTTGTCCGTGGCTAGTGGCATTCCAGTGGAACACTCCCTCTTTAGTCATTTGAAGTTTGTTAGGGCATTTAGCTGGAAAAAGTAAATTATTGATAGTTAGTATATCACACAGTGCACAAAACTTATTGTTCCCATATTAGTTCAAAGTGTGATAACTACTAGTTCATAAAAATATACACGATACGTATTACTTTGCACATTTTTCTAAGATATATGATATTCAGTAGTTCATAAAATTTGTTTAAATATATGCTAGTATTTAATTTATTAACTTATGTAATTTGTTGCCATATTTAAAGTATCACATAATTTATCCTGTCAAATTATTGAAATATTAATGCATGCTTGTTTATAACGTTGCCGTATGGATATTTAAAACTGTTTATTACCCTATGTAGGCTAGTTACTCTGGAAAGGCTAAAATCAGCATACCTGGTAGTTCACATCTCTTGCCACTGTAACCGACTGAGCAGTTGCATCTAAACGAGTTCAAATCGTCAATACAATGGCCGCCATTCAGGCAAGGACTAGAGTCGCACTCGTTTACCTCTATTTCACATAATGATCCTGACAGCAAAGATAAATACAAATCTTAGAAGAGGATATAACAGTGGCACAATCTTTCAAAATTAATGGTAATAATCACCATTTGAGTTATAGCTTTTATGTAACTTCTTTCTTCCTTGGAGTGATTAAGGACAATCCATACTCTACAATAAAATCTGATCACGATTTGAGGGGGTCTATGATTTAATGTGGGAATTGTACTGCAGAATACTGTACGTATCTCCTGCAGTATTATATGTTTGTGACCCTCAACATTTATCCTATTAACTTACACCATTTCACCAACATTTCTTACAGTTTAATCCCCTCTGCTTGGAGTTTAATTCAACATTATCATTTGGAAGTAGTAACTATACCACGTAAGCGTTCAGTACATAACTTGTAAAACAATCTAGTGTTAAGAATAATTTTACTGAATATATTTAGTTTATCTTATTATCGTAACGTCACGTAAGTCTTAACTCCTACTAGATAATTTCCAAATAGTTAGTTTTGTATATGAATATATCTTGAATAGCATATCTACCTTATATGATTGCTTATAATATTAAGTCAAAATGTACCTAGTTCAAAAGTGTTTTTGATAAACGGAGATTTTTGAAATGTACATGATACTTTGAAACGGGTGTATATCTATTGTTCAATAAGTGACTTATGACGAACGCTAAAATTTTATTTTTGGTAGCATAAAAAGATGATTCTCAAGCATTCTTCGTCAAACAGATTTGGCTTACATGAGTTTTTTACAGTTCCTTCTGTAGAAAATACATACAAAAGTTGCTATAATTCCTGTTGGAAATGCGATTAATGATAGAAAAGATTTAGAGAACCGAATGCTCCATTTATCCCCAAGTTTCAAATGACATTTGAAAGAAGAACGTTCTTTAATTCGCACATATCAGTCGGGTCTCGGAGGGAACTGCCAAGAAGTTAAAAACGCCCGAAAGAAATCCCCAGTAGGAACTATAAATTGATCGCAGGAACCTTAGTGTGTTCCAAAGAATAAAATAAGAACGAGAAAGGTGGGCTTACCTTCGTATCCTGGTTCACATTCACAAGAGAACTGGGCGGATGTATTCGTGCAAGCACCTCCGTTCAGACAAGGGTGAGAAAAGCAAGGGTCGAATGTCTGACAGGTCTGACCGATATATCCAGGTGGACAGCTGCAATGGTACGAATGGCTAGCACTACTATTACAGGTTCCTCCGTTCACACATGGTGACGGATGGATGGCACAGGGATTGAAACGAGTACAGTTCTGGTCCGAGAAACCAGGAGGACATTCGCAAGAGTATTGATTATGGCCAATGTGGTGACACGTCCCTAAATTTTCGCACGGACTTGCAGAACAGGGATCAAATTGATCGCAAGTGTCTCCATAGTAGCCGGCGTGACACTCACATCCCGGATCATCGTTGATAACATGGCAGATTCCATTCTGACAAATATTGATCTGGCAAACTGAAAAAAAACAATATTTCACCAATAAGAACGTTAGTAGTTACACGTGATCTCATAAAAACAACAACAGGTATATATATCTTCACATTATATAGACATCAATAATTATATCTTCATATTATATAGACATCAATAATTATATCTTCATATTATATATACATCAATAATTATATCTTCACATTATATAGACATCAATAATTATATCTTCACATTATATAGACATCAATAATTATATCTTCATATTATATAGACATCAATAATTATATCTTCACGTTATATAGACATCAATAATTATATCTTCACGTTATATAGACATCAATAATTATATCTTCAT